AGTATTTTGAAATACCTTATTACCCCAACGTTTGGTCATTTTTTATTCTATCAAAAATACCTTTTTAAAAATTTTACCCAACCCTCCCTTTACCATTCTGGTCAAAACCGATTTGGGATGGGGTTTAAATTAAAGAAAGTTTAAATTGGGGTTTTTTTTTGGGGAAAATCATTTATTTAAAAAGGGTTAAGGGTTTTTTGTTTTACTTCCCCGGGCTTAAAGGGGTTTTTAATGGGGGAAAGGGCTAAACCCCCAGGGGGGTTTTTGGGGGTTTTGGGGTTTTTGCATTTCACCCAGTCATTAAAATTTTGGAAATTTAAAACCCTTTTTTAAAACCCTTAAAAATTTTTTGGGGGGGAAAATTTTTAAAAATTATTTTGGGGTTTGGGAAGGGTTTTATTTTAAGGGGTTTTTAAAGGGGGTTTTTGGGGTTTGGGGGGCATAAAACGGGGTTTAAAAAAGGGGGGGGTTTTAAAGTTTTACACACGAGGGTCAAAAAGGGGGTTGGTTTGGGTTTTTGTTAAATTTAAACGGGGGGTTTTTGGGGGGGTTAATTTTAAAGTATTAACCGGGTTTTTGGTTGTTTTAAGGGGTTTAAAAAAACCCCCGGGGTTTTTGGGTGGGGAATTTTTTTCCCCAATACCCGTAAAACTTTTTAAAAAATTTTTAAACCTTATTAAAATTACACCTTTTATTAAATTTTTATTAAAAGGTTAAATATTTTAAAAACCCGGATAACCCTTTTTCCCAAAAAAAATTTTTATTTCCAAGAAATTTTTAAACTAGTTAAAAAAGGTTTAAAAAGTTAAAACCCCCCCGGCATAAATTTTGAAAAATCAAAAAGGGGACCAACAAAAGGGGGAAAAACAAAAAGGGGGACCAAAAACGGGGAAAAAACAAAAGGGGACACATCAACAAGGGGTCACAATTGGAAGTTGAAGACTCAGATGAGTCACAGGGATGTTAGGAAGTATTTCTTCAGTCACAGAGTTGTCAGGAAGTGTAACAATCTGGAGAGTGTCGTAGTGGAGGCAGGAACCATACATAGCTTTAAGAAGAGGTATGATAAAGTTCATAGAGCAGGGAGAGAGTGGACCTTCCACAGTGGAATGTGTTTAATCTCAGTGTATATACCCGTACCCCTTGCCCATGTGGGATGTGTATATTATCAGTGTATATTTCTGTCCTTATCTCCCACTAGATGTATACTACAATACCTCCTACCACTGAGGTGTATGTGTGTGTATAGTTCAGTGTGTATACTTGTTTGTATGCACTGTATTCTTCTCCTGTTAAATCAACTGGACAATAGATGTAAAAATAGAGGGAACACAGGGAAGGTCAGAAAGAGAGAGAGAGAGAGAGAGAGAGAGAGAGAGAGAGAGAGAGAGAGAGAGAGAGAGAGAGAGAGAGAGAGAGAGAGAGAGAGAGAGCGGGGGGGGGGTACACAGTTAACAACAGGTGGATATTAATAGATTATAGGAGGCCACAGTGTGGCCACATCAAGGTGGCCACTTCATGGGGCTACACTAAGGGGCCTCAATATGGAACTGGCTGAGGCCACACTAAGGGGCCACAATACGGAACTGGCTGGGGCCACATCATTGGCCCACACTAAGGGGCCACAATATGGAACTGGCTGGGGCCACATCATGGGGACACACTAAGGGGCCACAATATGGAACTGGCTGGGGCCACATCATGGGGCCACACTAAGGGGCCACAATATGGAACTGGCTGGGGCCACATCATGGGGCCATACTAAGGGGCCATAATATGGCCCTGGCTGGGGCCACATCATTGGGCTACACCCTGGGGGCCACATTATGGCCCTTGCTGGCGCCACATTGTGGCCCTGGCTGGAGCCACATTATGGCCCTGGTTGTGGCCACATGATTGGGCTACACCATAGGGGCCAAATTATGGCCCTGGCTGGGGTCACATTATGGCCCTGGCTGGGCTGTGGAAGCAAAAATTCTCTTCAGAAAAAGGGCCATCGAGGCGTGAGGACACGCGTCCCGACAGCTGCATCTGACCTCGACTTCGCCTCACATATTCCCCCTTCGACCCCCACTCCCCCCCAAAAAATACCCCCAATCTCATGACATACATTCCCCCATTAAACCTACAAGCATCAATGCCAAATTGATGCTTTTCTGTCAACTGGGGGTTATAAAATATATGACATCAGTAATGTAAACAAAGACGGGTCGGGACAAGGGCTCCAGGGAGCTGTCAGCCACATAGACACAAGAAATTTTTTGACATATTTTAATATATATTTTTGGAGGGGCTCTTGATCCGAGGAGTTGGAGCTGATCTTACTTCTTGGATCAGGCCTGGGGTTATTTCCCCCCTTGGGGGTTTAGCGCTTCCCCGTGAGAAATAATGGGTGTCCCGTGTTTGGGTTGGTAGCGCACTTGTCTCACACATTGAGGTTCGGGGTTCGATCCCCGGTACGGGTGGAAACATTAGGACGCTTTTCCTTAAGACACCTGCTGTCCATGTTCACCTAGCAGTAAGTAGGTACCTGGGTGTTAGTCACCTTACACCTGCTGTCGCTGTTCACCTAGCAGTAAGTAGGTACCTGGGTATTAGTCACCTTACACCTGCTGTCAGTGTTCACCTAGCAGTAAGTAGGTACCTGGGTGCTAGTAACCCTAGACCTGCTGTCAGTGTTCACCTAGCAGTAAGTAGGTACCTGGGTGTTAGTCACCTTACACCTGCTGTCGCTGTTCACCTAGCAGTAACTAGGTACCTGGGTATTAGTCACCTTACACCTGCTGTCAGTGTTCACCTAGCAGTAAGTAGGTACCTGGGTGTTAGTAACCCTAGACCTGCTGTCAGTGTTCACCTAGCAGTAAGTAGGTACCTGGGTGTTAGTTACCTTACACCTGCTGTCAGTGTTCACCTAGCAGTAAGTAGGTACCTGAGTGTTAGTTACCTTACACCTGCTGTCAGTGTTCACCTAGTAGTAAGTAGGTACCTGGGTGCTAGTCGCCTTACACCTGCTGTCAGTGTTCACCTAGCAGTAAGTAGGTACCTGGTGTTAGTCACCTTACACCTGCTGTCGCTGTTCACCTAGCAGTAAGTAGGTACCTGGGTGTTAGTTACCTTACACCTGCTGTCAGTGTTCATCTAGCAGTAAGTAGGTACCTGGGTGTTAGTTACCTTACACCTGCTGTCAGTGTTCACCTAGCAGTAAGTAGGTACCTGGGTGTTAGTCACCTTACACCTGCTGTCAGTGTTCACCTAGCAGTAAGTAGGTACCTGGGTGTTAGTCACCCTACACCTGCTGTCAATGTTCACCTAGCAGTAAGTAGGTACCTGGGTGTTAGCCACCTTAAACCTGCTGTCAGTGTTCACCTAGCAGTAAGTAGGTACCTGGGTGTTAGTCACCTTACACCTGCTGTCAGTGTTCACCTAGCAGTAAGTAGGTACCTGGGTGTTAGTCACCCTACACCTGCTGTCAATGTTCACCTAGCAGTAAGTAGGTACCTGGGTGTTAGTCACCTTACACCTGCTGTCAATGTTCACCTAGCAGTAAGTAGGTACCTGGGTGTTAGCCACCTTAAACCTGCTGTCAGTGTTCACCTAGCAGTAAGTAGGTACCTGGGTGTTAGTCACCTTACACCTGCTGTCAGTGTTCACCTAGCAGTAAGTAGGTACCTGGGTGTTAGTCACCTACACCTGCTGTCAATGTTCACCTAGCAGTAAGTAGGTACCTGGGTGTTAGTCACCTTACACCTGCTGTCATGTCACCTAGCAGTAAGTAGGTATCTGGGTGTTAGTCACCTTAAACCTGCTGTCATGTTCACCTAGCAGTAAGTAGGTACCTGGGTGGTTTGTCACCATACACCTGCTGTCAGTGTTCACCTAGCAGTAAGTAGGTACCTGGGTGTTAGTCACCTACACCTGCTGTCAATGTTCACCTAGCAGTAAGTAGGTACCTGGGTGTTAGTCACCTACACTCTGTCAAGTTCACCTAGCAGTAAAGTAGGTACCTGGTGTTAGGGGAATCTTGTGTCAGTTGTTAAAACCTAGCAGTAAGCAGGTACCTGGTTTAGTACCCCCGCTGCAAGTTCACCTAGCAGTATAGGACCTGGGGATTTACCTAATCCAATTCACCTAATGTGCTCCCTTTTTAGCACCTACATGTTCAAGTTCATAAGAAAGGGTAGGATACCTGGGTCGTTATCCATACACATATTACACAGGTCCCAGTAGGGAAGGGCACCTGGCTGTTCGGTTGTTGGGGTTTGGGGATCTTTGGGGCATATCAAGAGAAAAGGCCGAAACCCCACAGGTTGAGGATTCAGGCACATCCAATATACCTATTTCTTGGAAAAATCCCCAAGATGTTCTATAAAAAGGGTAATACGTTATTGCAAGATTAGTTCTTCCAGATTAAGGGGGTCTTCTTTTTGTCTGGATTCTCAAAAAAAAGGGCCACATTGGTATGGCATACTGTGGCCTGGGTTTTTGTGAGACACGGCACCAGGGCAAATTACTATTGAAGTTCTCTCCCTTTGGGCCCTCTCTGACTCAGAAACTCTTTGTAAAGTCTGTAGGCTGGACTAGAGGCAGATCACCTGAAGGCAAATTTGGGAAGGCCCCGAGACCCGACCAATCACCTAATTATTGAGACTGTAGCCCCTAGACTAGACCAGATCACCTAACTGGTAAGTTTGTAGCCCCGAGACTAGACCAATCACCTAATTATTGAGACTGTAGCCCCTAGACTAGATCAAAACACCTATTTAGGAAGACTGTAGCCCCTAGACTACACCAGCTCACCTATTTAGGTAACCTGTAGCCCCTAGACTAGGAACATAGAACAAAAGAGAGTAGGAACGCTGCAGCAGGTCTACTGTCCCATGCGGGGCAGGTTCAAATCTCCCACCGATTTAAGCCAATGCCTTGACCTAGTCAGGTCAGTCACATTCACTTAAGTTAAGTAGGGTAGTTAGTTAAATAAGGTAGTTGAACACAATACTAAC